CAGGAAAGTAGGCCAGAACAAAAGTCATTTGGTAGAGGAGTTGAAACACTTGGAAAAGTAATAATAATGATTGATAATACTATGTACATGTATGGTTGTGGTTTGTTAGGGGTTTTATCAAGGTCTGACTGGTATTGTGACACAACCTGTGAAAGGTAAAAAATGACACTATTATCATGGCACAATAATTGCAAACTATAATTGCTTGTAAAATTAGTAGTTCATCATAATAATTTTATTATTTAAACCTCATATATAGTGCCTTGTTGTACTAAATTATATTTGTAATAGGTGCAATGAAGGAAGGTGTCCTTGGTTTCATCAAAGGTACTGGTAAAGGTGTACTGGGTCTTGTTTTCAAACCAACTGGTGGTTTGATTGATTTCACCAGTGCTACGCTACTAGCAGTACAAAGGTAATGTACTAATGATGGTACTCATTCTCTATCTGTTGTCCAGGACTACTCAAGTAGGTGAACTCAATTTGATGCAGCTTCGTATTGCACGTTACATTGGAAATGATAAGGTATTGTTAATGGAAATGCATCCAAGAATTTCAATTCTTTTCATTGCAGGTTATACGTCCATTTTCACTGACTGTTGCTTCAGGTTATGCAGTTTTTATTGTGAGTCACTCATATGTATATACATTGCACTTGGCATGGTCATTTCATTTGTTATATTATGCAGTTTTATCATTTTTGAGTCATGAAATTTAAATAGCTTTTCCATTTAATTATGTCCTATAGGATTACAATAATGGAGAGCTCTACGGTAAAGAGGAATACATTGGTCATGTTGATTTAAGTGATGATCCAATAAAGATATTCATAGCAACTGACAAGTAATATATGCAACAATAACAACCACTCTCCTCCTAACATTTCTTTTTGTTTTCTTAGACAAGTGATGATACTGAAAAAGAACACATTTTTTGATAAATGGTCTTGCGAATGGTCTATGGAAATGAAAGAAGTTGTGGACAAACCTTTCCTATCTAGTAGCACTGGTGCTGAACGAGCTGTTCTGTTTCCTAGAATGGAGCACCAAGGAGGAGTCTTTGGATTTGGTGGGAAAAAGTCAGTCAAGACAAACTTTTCCCTCAACATCCCAGATGAGATCAAAGCCAAAAAGATTGTGGCATTATCACTACAATCATATAGCACTTTTGCTATAAAACTTTAAATTAGTTTATGATAGTTGCTGTATGTGGTATTCTTGTGTGTGAATTTTAAAGGTACTTTCAAACTTTTGCTAGAATTTAATAAGATCACATGATTATTTTTGTTAGCAGTTCTATTTACGTGTTGATTAATAATACCACAGAAATTATTAAAATAAAATTGAAAAAAATTGAAGACTAAGAAAAAATTGTTCACTATCTATAGTTTACCAGGTCTACGGTAAATTTTTTTAATCACTGATTTATAAGGAGAGACGTTCCAAAGGAGCACAACAGTAGGTTTCGAAGAGAATCATGTCATTTATGTATGGGTA